GGGAGGGGGCTGTACCCTTCACTTCCTAACCCCTGTGACCCAGAACCTGGACATCAATGCCATAATGTTGAGTTTGGTGCAAAGCACAGTTTACCCCACCCACCCACACACACACACACACACACACACACACACCAGCCCTCTCCACACACTTTCCCCAGTGCTGGATCAAATCAGGTATTTGTGCATGGTACTCTACCATTGACCTGAACCCCCAGTCCAAGCTCTTACTTTGGTATTACCCATCAGGGTCTAAGGGTCCCAGTCTAGTTCTGCCCTCTCCTCCATGTGGAAACTTGGCTGAGCAACCCAATGTCTCGTCTGGGACCTTCAGCTCCTCATCCGTGATTAAAGCCTCCCTGGAAGGGTTGTTGTGAAAGTCACTAAGATTAAATATGATAACGATAATGTATGCTGGGTGTTGAACGTGGCGCCAGGCATGGGATACATGCTCAATAAATGGTGGCTATTATTGTTAGGAGTTGTAACTCTGAGTAACCACATGGCAGGGGACAAGATTGATATGAGGCTGTTTCTCCACCCAGGCCTCCCCTCCCCTCACTGCCTCCAGGCCTGAAAGTGATTTCATTTACAAAGCTGAAACTGGGTTGAAGAGTGACTTGCTACAGCTGGTCCCCAGAGGTGACTGGCCTGAGCCTTAGTCCTCTGGTGATTCAGACAGGGTATGAGCAACTTAGGTCCGAACAGTTCTAAGTGCCTAGGCTGGCAAGTCATATGTAGAAGCAAGAAGTGGCCTTTGGGGCTGGAAGGAGCTGATGAGGCCTCCAGGAAGGCTTTACCTTAGCCAGGCTGGTTGGTTTTGGTACAGGGAGGGGCCCGGTACTATATACATCATGGCCCGAGGGAGTCTGGGAAGCTGGTTTTCAGGAATGCAGGGTGGCATGTTCCTGTGCATATATGTTGGTTTCCAGTCCTTGCTCACTCCTGGGAAGAGTCATTGCCATCGCTTGCCTCCCCTTCTATGCGTGCTGTGAGATTCAGGGACATCCACTTTGATGTTTAAAGCACACACACACACACACACACACACCACTGGCTCCTCACCAGGGATTACTGAGCCCTTATTCCTTCTGGGAGGCTCTAGATAAATATGGTTTAAACTGTAAACCCAAAATGGGGTCCCTTCCATATTCTTTTTCCATGCTATTTGAAATTTTAAAATATCATTGTTTCAAACCTGCCCCCTCACTGCATACCCCCTGATTCTCTGGCCCACCAGAAAGAGGACAGAATCCCTGTATTCAGTCTTCCAGTCTGGGATGGGATGAGGACCAGAAAGGGTTAAAAAGAGGGCTGCTGGGCACTGTCCTCAGTATCCATCCTGCCCAAGTCAGTTGGGGCCTCAGGTTGTTACAGAATCTTGATGTCCTGGTCAGATGTTCAACACAGAGCCACACAGGAACAGAAACAACCCGAAGCTGAATCTAGCCACAGCTTCTTCTTCTGGGCTATGTGGATAATAAAAAGCTGCACTGTTGCCTTTTCAAAGCGCCCCCCCCCCTGCTGGGGACACCATGGTGACTGTGTGAGTGGCAGGTGGAGGGAGGGAGGCGGGTTTTGGAAGCCTAGCCCTAAAATCAGCAGGATGGTGTCTGTTCACCAGGAGAGGTGGGGGTGGAGGGGAGCTGGCACAGGTCTGGGGGTTGCAGTGCTCCCTACAGTATAGGTGGCTCAGATGGAGGTGGCCTGCCTGGCTGATCTCCTGCCTCAGAGGAGATGGGATTGAGGATCCCCAGTAGGACATCAGGCGAGGAAACCCTTCTACAGAACCTCTTCAACTGCCTCCGGGCTTCTGTCTTAGTCCAGGCAGTGATGGCTGTGTCCCTTTGGGCCCTGTTTGTGATAGTATTTGAAGGTGGTAAAGATAAGGTCTGGAATCTAGGTTCCCTTAGCCTTGTCCAATGCCTGAGCTATGTCCTGGTGAGTGAGAAGAGCTAGGCTGAGCCCTCTCCCATGAGAGGCTCGACCTTGTTAGTATCCATCTCTGAATGAGGTATGGGGTCTGGGGAGCCAGCCCTGCCTTAACAAGAGGTGGAGAAGGTGAACTTGGGTCCATGTAATAGGAAAAGCACCCTATCAGCTGAAGCCAAAACCAACGTCTATGTCTCAGAAAGAACAAAGTTCACATTCTTGCTCCCCGTGGCTAAATTATTCAGATTATCCCTTGTTTTTAAGACAGGATCCCAAATCCCTACTTCACAGAGATGCTATGAAAATTAAATGAGTCTACATAAAGCAGCGCCCTCCGTGCCTGGCGCAGTATAGGCCCCACATAAAGTGTTTAAGAATTTATAACATGTACATCAGTGTCTGAACTGTATGTGTTAAGTTGCTTGGCAGTGGAGCCTGGGGTCCTAGTACTGAATCTATGGCAACAGGCTGTTCTCAGCTCCTCTGCCTGACAAAGCTGGTGGTGCAGCTGCAGGCCCAGCTGGTAAGGACTTGAGGATCAAGCAAGGTTGAGCCTGCAATCAGTGGGGTTGATGACCCAGTGATACACCTGGCCTGGCTCTCCATTTGACCCAGTTGAAGAGTAAGCCAGTCTCCCGCTGCCAAGTGCTGTCAGCTTCACCCTGGCCTGCAGAAGTCCAGGTCTGATGAGGTAAAGGGCAAGTTTTCCCCAAGTGTTCAGTATAGACTTTGATGTTTTTCTAGACAGGGTTTCTCTATGTAGCCTTGGGTGTCCAGGAACTCGCTCTATAGACCAGGCTGGCCTCAAACTCAGAGATCTGCCTGCTTCTGCCTCCCAGGTGCTGAGATTAAAGGCATGCGCCACCACTGCCTGGGTCACATAGACTTCTTTTAAATAGGAATTCTGGGGTTAGGGATGTCATTAGTGATAGAGCACCTACCACTATAGCATGCGTGAGGTCCTGAGCTCCATCCACAACACAGAAGAGGGAGAGAGAGAGGAAGGGAGGGAGGAAGGGAGAGGAATTCTGTTTATCTTGATGTTGGGGACTGAACTCGGGCATCACACATGCTAGGTAAGTGCTCTGCCACTTAGCTGTAGCCCAAGCCCTAGACTTTGAGGGCTAGCAAAATGGCTCAGTAGATAAAGGCACTTGCCACCATGCCTGATGACCCAGGTTTGTTTTATAGAGCCCACATAGTAGAAGAAAAGAGTTGACTCCCACAAATTGTCCTCTGGTTTTCACACATGTGCTGGGTGGTTTGTGTATGCGTGCACGCACGTGCGCGCACACACACATACACACACACACACACACACACACACACACACACAATGTAAAATAGATTTTGAGTTAGCACTATTTGATTTACATTTTGGCTGATACCTTCCCAAAAGTCTTCTGTGTGTAGATAGACTTCTGAATCCATTACGCACACATACATATTTATACAGTAGCTTGCCTGCATCAGGCTATGCCAACTGTTTACAAGGTTTTTTTTTAACTTATTGTGTGTGTCATCCCATTTTGTTACCTATACAGCTTTGTCAGTATTTTTATCACCTTTCCTTTTACATCATCATCATTTTCATTGCTGGTATGGCTTTCCCCAAAGCAGTGTGATTTAGTCGTCTTTTGTGGCTTTGCTTTCAAGCATCAGGCACAGCATGTGGGATAAGTGGTGGCACAGTTGGGGGCTCACACTTCATGTGGCCTGTCCACGTGCTGAGACCACATTGTGTGGCTACTGCTTTCCCCTGCTTCATTGTGGTGTGTGGACAATCCTGCTGTATCAGGCTGGCCTGCAGCATAGCTCCTGCGTAGAAGAAGCAGTCTCATTCATCAGCTTCAACGCATTGGATCTTTTGAGAAATGACTGTGACCCACTTTTGTAACACTCTGTGTGTGTGTGTGTGTGTGTGTGTGTGTGTGTGTGTGTGTGTGTGTGTGTGCGTGCGCGCGCGTGTGGAGATGCATTTGTACCAATGTGTGTGGAGCATGTGTGTGGAGATCAGAGACCAATTAGGAATTGGCTCTCTTTTTCCACTGTGTGGGTCCTGGGAGTACAGAACTCGGGTCATCAGGCTTAGTAGCAAATGCCTTTACTTACCCAGCCACTGTATCATCGCATCCAAAGAGGTTTTCCTTATTTATAAACACCTCCATTTGGAAAGGGACCACCATGTCTTTTTGTCCTCTAAATGTCTAAAACGATGCTGTGTACACAATAATAATCACACTCTGAAGCACCAAATACTTTCAGTGAGCATCCTGAGTGGTTTGTACCTCCAGTCCCAGATGCTTTTGAGGCCAACATAGAAGGGATTTGGTTGCAGCCTGGGCAACCAAGCAAGACCTTATGTCTAAAAAAACAAATAAATACATGCTAGCTGTCCTTCCCATCATTTGGGCAGCACGGTTTAGGTTGCTTGGACCTCCTGGCATAGAGCCTCTGAAGTGAGTTCACCCTTTGGGTTGACCATGTGCCATGAGCATGACTCTCCATATGGTGAATGACAGTCCTTAGAGGCTCTGAGGTTCCAGGGTGTGTGGCCATTTTCCCCATTCCAAATGGTTCCAGACAGCTGTCCGGAGAGGAGGGCCCGCTCCTGGGTGGTTTCCTTTCCTTCCTGGCTCCCTCTAGCTCCTCACTCCAAGCAGCAGGGCAAGCACCCTGTGCAGTGCAGTGCAGTACAGTGGGATTGGTGTGTCATCTACCCAGTGGAAACCCACAGGGACCGAGGCAAAGGCACCAGGGTGTTGCTCTTCCCGGCATTGAGTGATTTTTTTAATTTTTAATTTAATTTTTATTTTTTTGAGACAGCGTCTTGTGTAGCCTGAGTTGTCTTACCATGTAGTTGAGGATGGTCCTAAAACCCCAATCCCCCTGCCTCTGCCTCCCAAGTGCTCTTAGCTGTGGTCTGGGAAGGGGGCATGTGGCATTGGCTTTCTGGGCATAACTGAAGTGAGCGAGCATTAAGAGGACATTTTGCGGTTATAGCAAGGTTGTGTAGAAAGCCGGGTGCGTTGCCGGGGCAGTTTCTTCCGCCTTCCAGCTCTGTGGGCCTCTCGGAGCCTCCTGCGGCGCCATGTTGGGCCAGAGTATCCGGAGAACCTCCGTGGTCCGTCGCAGCCACTATGAGGAGGGCCCGGGAAAGAATTTGCCATTTTCAGTGGAAAACAAGTGGTGGTTACTGGCTATGATGACTGTTACCTTTGGATCTGGATTTGCCGCTCCCTTCTTTATAGTAAGGCACCAACTACTCAAAAAATGAGGATATTTAATTCATTCCTCTAACAGAATGAAGATTGTTTAAGAGATGTGATCTGAAAATTGGATTAAACTCTTGAACTCTTATTACTAAATAAAATTGTAAATAAACTAATGAAAAATAATGCAAAAAAAAAAGAGGACATTTTGCAGGGAACACCAGATCCAGCCTCAGAACAGATATTATACACATAGGCGGCCTACACCTATGGGAGTGCTCTTGTGAGGTAAGATGGCCTGTGCCACCTACCTCAGCAACAGATGCTCTATGTCATTTCTTCTGAGGCTACCCTGCTGGATTCATGCTTCATCCCTTGAGAACAAAGCCTCCCCACAGCCCACAGTACCACCTCCTCTGGGGACTCCACACTGTGTGTGCCTTTCCCCTGTTTGACCTCCCCGGGTCCCCCTCATCAGCGCCATTGGCATGAAGCTTGTGCATGGACCTGGCTCATGCTGCCAAATGTGTGTTCCTGTGTCTTGCCTCCCAGCACTTTGGCATATTCTAAGGGAGACCACATCTTACCTTCTTGGTTGCAGGACTAAAGGGGGCTCCCATGTGTTCCTTCGTGTTTTCTGTAAATAGTCGTGATGGGCACTGGGACCAGTAAAGCAGGCAACTATAGACCTGGCCTGTGCCCCGTCTGACAGGGGTGTCTGGTGGGGGCAGTGGCAGCGGTGCATCTCACACAGCAGAGGACAGAAGCCTAACCTTGACGGAGGGAGGAAGAGGCAAGTGCCTGCCGTGGAGTTTCTACAGGGTAAGGCAGCAGAGATGCCTGCCTGGAAGAAGCAGAGCTTCTGCTCTAATCTAAAGGACACTTAGGCCAGTGAGGAAGACTGTGTGGTCACAGGCATCACAGTCAAGTCCACAGCATAGTAAGACCCCGGGGCAGAGGCAGAGCAAGGACTGGGCACTGAAGGAAGGCCAATGTGGCTGAAGTGCCGCAGACACTTCAGAGGCCAGTGTGGGAGAGGGGGTCCACCCCCTCAGCATGCAAAGGGGGGTGCTCTGCACTCAAGTGCAACAGGAACCCTCTGAAGGCCCTTATACTGGCGAGATAGGAGAAATGACATCTTACAGAGATAAGTTGGCTACGTGTCATGAACTGATTTGGGGACCCAGCTGGTATGGGGGACACTGCTATAGGGCCCATGGTGTAGGCTAGGCATGGTGGTGACAGTGTGGATCATTCGGAGGTGTTGGAGGGGAGCGTACAGGTTTAAAAGTCATTTGGAATTCCTGGGGAGGGACTACTGAGTGGGGGTAAAAGATGGGATGAGGGTGTGGTCTGGATTTGGGCTTTACTAAATATATCATTTATCGAGAAAGATGTGCTGGCAAGGGACTTCATCATGCATGCTGCTAAGAACCTTTCTTGGTCTTTACAATGGGGCACAGGTTGTCTGTTACCACTGATGTACGAAGAGGGAGGAAAAGTAGAGGTTAGACAAGTACAAAGTACAAGGCCACCTCCAAAGGGCAGTGCCTGCTTCTGGCGTGCCCAAAGCCTGTGTCCTATTGACTGGCCCCAGGTCGGCCCCTTCCCTGTGTCTATACAGGCTGGAACACGCATCTGTAAAGGGATACATGGATGGCTCAGCAAGAGTGACATGGGATGCGTAGTCTGAGGCTTAAGTGTTGTGGCCTCTGATCTGAGTCACGTGTGATTTCGTTATCCCATATGTGACTGCAGGCTGCAGGATTCATGAGGCAGCCAGGCCCCCAGAAGCCAGTGTTCCAATGCATATGGCAATGCTGCCCATGGGAAGCCCATCTAGGCAGGAAGCCAATGGCTTCCCCCAGGCCCAGGCTCCTCTTGCCAGTTGGAGAGGCTGGCTTACTCTTTCTTTCACAACCTTCCTTCCATTCGTTCTTTTTAAACACTGGCTGCTTAATTTTCTGTATTAGAATCTGAAAACAAAGACCAAACTCATAAAGGGAAATGGAAATGGCTCAGTATTTCCCCCTTGATCTGAGATTTACTAGAGCAGCAATTCTGTTTGAAGTGAAGCACATTATCTTTTGGTAGCCCTAGTCTCTAAGAAATACCCGGTTTCCCCTGCCAGCCAGGCATACTTCAAGTATGTGAATTTGCCCCAGCAATGCCTGGGATTCACTGTGACTTCCATAGGTGGCGGCTGTAGCTTGGCAATAGAGCTGTTCTCACATGGGTGGGTGTGTCCCATCCTGCCACATTTCTGATCCCCTAGAGAAAACTCTAAAAGGCAAAGGGTGGAAGAGACAGATTTCAAGAAAACCCTCACTGCCACCCTTTCTGCCTGAAGTAGGACCAGAGTGGCTATCGCTTCACCTGGCTTCCCCACAGTCCTGGTTGGAACCCAGGAGCAGACAGCATTGAGTTTTCTGCTGGAGAGACTGGGGAGTCCATACCCCAGGATGGATGGGCCACCCTCCCCTGTTTTCCTTCTCCTATACCTGACTAGAGCTCACCCTACTGTCTTCACTCAATGGAAGGTGACCACATAGCCATGTCTGTCTGCAGACTCTGTGTGTCCTAGGTCTGTGGGTGGAGACAGGACAGTTTTTGTGAGCTTTTCCCTTATTTTCTTCCCTGGACCTACAGCATGGATGCACCATTTATCAGATGGTTTAACAAGACATGTGCACCTCATCCTTCAAAACCCTGCTCAGGGGCCAGTGAGATGGCTTGGCTAATAAAGGCACTTGCCGCCAAGCCTGCTGCATTTGAGTTTGATCCCTGAAATCCACACAGTAGAAGTAGAGAACTCACTGTCCCTACAAGTTGTCCTCTGATCCCCACACACAATAAGTAAGTGTTAAAAATTTAAAAACAAATGCTCCACCTAATTGACCCCCCACCTCCCTCTTGGTGCATCTGAACCTCCTTCTACCTTGGTGAGTCGGCTCCCTTGAAAGCCCAAGCACTTCATAAGGTACACAGTACCACCTGGCCCTGCTTGTCCATGCATGTCTTCTAGGCTACGCTAGCATCCCATACACACTGGACATATGGATGAGCAAATTTTGCTAAGCAAACATTCTATCTCTGAGTCAATTCCCTGCTCCCTAATTTCATTTTAAATGGTCATCCATGGCTGCTAGACACTACAGCAAATGATGCAGAGCTTTAGGGGAATTATATAGGCTTTCAGAACAGGGTACAACAGGTGCCACTAATAACAACAGTGCTGGGCATCCGTTGAGTGCTTTTTCTATACCAGTGACTTTCCATATGAATCTTAGCTAACCCTCAAAGTGATGACTGGTGAACTCATCTTAGACATGAGAACATCTGAGGCTTGGACTGGCTTGGGTAGCCTACCCAAGAGTCTACCTGGGTGCTCACGCCGATTTGCCCCAATCAAAATCTATGTCCCAGCATCATGACCCACTGACTCTGCAGGAACCGGGAGCAGGGTTACAGGAACATCAAATTGGTGGCTGAGTGCTGGGTGGTGTAGGGTGGAGCATAGGTGACTCCAAGTATAACCAAGGGTTCCCAGGATGGAATAGCAGAGAAAGACCCAGTCCTGGTTGGAGGCTACTGTGGACTGAATATTTGTGTCCCCTAAGCCTATATTCTGATGCCCTCATGCAATAGGATACTTGGAGGTGAGGTCTTTGGAAATTATTAGAGTTAGAGGCAGTCACAGGGTTGGGCCATGTGATAGGACTGGGGTCCTCATAAAAGGAGAAAGAGGCCAGAGCTCTGTGCTCTATCACTTGGGAATACTCTAGAAAGCTGTCACCCATCTCCCTTCCCAGCATAATGGAAGAAGCCATGGAGCCATGGTGGCATTCGTCACATCAAACTGAGCTGATCTAGACAGGGCCTGAGGCTGCACTGTCCTCTCCCTAGGGACAGTGACCACTAGGCTTCCAGGGTACCAGTGGAGCTGCTAAGCTGAGAGAGAACAAAGGGCACAACCAGACTGGTCAAGAACCAGTCTTGGGTGGGGCATATGTGAGTGTGTCCCAGCTACACCCCTATCCCCAGTGAACCAGGACTCAGAATCAGTCTGTGCTGGGTCTCCGACAAGCTACTTAGACTCTTCAGTCACACCCCAAGTCCTTGCTGGAACAGAGCCAGCCGGCAATTGCCATGGATAGCATGTGGCACCTGGGGGAAGGGCCTGATTGCTCTGCTGAGCTCTGGACATCGATGCTGCCTGGCGGCTCTCAAGATGAGCCGTCTGCAGGGTCTCAGAGCCTCTGCTTCTCCATCTTCCCAGGGATCACATAACACACCTCCTCCACACTTTGTGGCTGGGGTGGCTGTACCTGACACACATAATTGCTCCTTAAATGGTGGTCATTCGTATTTTAATCACGCCTGATTTTCAAGAGCATGGTCTCACTCAACAGCCTTGGGGGAGGGCAAAGCCCTCTCTATTACAGGGTGAACTGGAAAGAAAGCAGCAGGAAACACTGGCCTCTCTGAGGCCTAGCCCAGAGATGGTGGTCTAGCACAATGGTTCTCAACCTATGGGTTGCAACCCATCTGGTGGATGAACGGCCCTTTCACTGGGGTTACCTAAGACCATCAGAAAACACAGTTTATATTACAATTCATAACATGGCAAAATTACAGTTATGAAGTAGCAATAAATTTTTACAGTGGGGGGGGTTGTCACCACAACATGAGGAACTGTATTAAAGGGGTCACAGCATTAGGAAGATTGAGAACCATTGGTCTAGGAGCTGAGCTGTCAATCCTTGGAGAAGCTTACTGTTCCTAGCCTGCAAAGATCCCAAAGCCAGGGCTGGCACTTAGGTAGTTGCCTCTCCCTTCAAAAGACCCTGAGAGCTGAGGGCACCACCAGGGAGCAGTCGCAGCTCTCTGAGGAGGCCTTGCCTTCATGTGCTTGACCACAAACACTGTAAACTCAGCACCTTCCTGAGAGCCAGTAAGGAACCTCTGTGCTTCCTGGGACCTGAGAGGGGACCTTCCTGGCAGCTTAGAGAGACAGGACCTTAGAGCAGATTCCATTTTGTTTAGAAAACCAGAGAGGTGACATTGGATGGTAGCCAATCCATGCCCCCACAAATGTGTCATAGCTTCCCTTCTGAGTGTGCTGGCTCCCGCCACTCCTGCCGAGCACAGGCTCAGCCATCCAATCAGGCTGGTGACACATGCTTGGAGAAGCCAAGTTGGTGACATTTCCCTCTCCATGGAGAGATGTGTCTCTTGCTCAGTTGGCAGCCTGCAGAAAAGGCCAAACAACAGATAGATCCTTCTCTCAGTGGAAACCCCCACCCTGTAGGGACAGGAGATCTGTACCCTCCCTTTTCCCCAACAAAAAGCCTCATTGCTGAATCACACACCCCTGGTAGGCTGAGAACCAACCTCAGCCCCAACAAATCCACCTCTGCCTCCCAGTGTTTATCCTGGCCTTCCCCACCATTACTTTTTGCTGTGTCTCTCAGGGAAGCAAAGTGTGTGTTTAGATGTTAGGATTTAAACAACTTAGCAGAAGAAAAAACACTTGAATCTGTAATCCGGCTATTTATGTCTGGAGGGAACAACAGGAGGGCTCCAGAGTCATTGCCCAACCAGTTCTTCTTTGCTACAGACCTTGGACAAGGTCTCCAGTCTCCGCACCCTCCTCTTTGCATTACCACTTTACTGATGAAGTCCTGGAACCCTTACATGAGAAACGTGACACCAGGCATGCGCTTAAGCTGTATTCATATTTCTCTCTATGGCTCCTAACCTGTCAGGCACACGTGGGAGTTTCTGGCCTTCTCCTAAGGGAGTGTGTTCTTTCTTTGGGAGAGGACCATATTTCCCGCCCACATCTGCAGGTAGCCACAGTCCCCGTGTAGGAAGACAGAACCTTCATCCGTCTTGTTTGCCTGGATCCTCCCCAGGTATTAGGCATTTGATTGATTTCCAGTTCTTTGCTGCTGAACATGATGGCATTATGGAGATCTGCCAGCCGATTTTGATGTGGTCCCCTCACAGAACAGAATTATGGGATGCACAATCAGTAAAATGGAGATCCGTCAGTGAGACAACTACATTATAAAGGCATCCAAAGTTTGCTAGGTTAACTGTGCTTTGAGGAGCCCTGCCCTAAGCTCAAAGCAAACGATACTCTTAGAAGATGTCGGAATATCCCTTGGGGACCACTGCCATGGCCCCACAGCCCAGGAGGAAGCAGCCAAAATATTGACACATATGTGTCCTCTCTCTTGTAGAAAGTCTGCACCAAATGCGGGATCGAGGCCTCCCCCGGCCAGAAGCGGCCCCTGTGGCTGTGTAAGATCTGCAGTGAGCAAAGAGAGGTAGGGGTCCTGAGGTGGGCTGGACTTGGGTGGGGTAGGGTCCACTTGCATTGGGTGCTGGCAGAACATCTCCAGAGGGAAGGTACTGAGGAGGACCACCCCGGCTGTCCAGGGAAGGTCCCCAGGAGGACTGCCCAGGATGTCTAGGGGAAAAGAGTGGGAAAGAAAACCTGCTGGCCTGCCCACCCCTCACCCATGTAGAGGTGAGATTCATCCCTGCTCTTGCGGCTTTGGGGGCCTATGGTTTCCATAGATAGTCTCCCTGTAAGCATGTGTACATGTGGCATTTGTAATTACCTGAGTTGAATGTCCTCTGAACATGTGGCACTATACTATACTAAACTGCTTACGTATGTCCATTCCTTTCCCCTTTCGAATCCCTCTCTGGTGGGTATCATTTCCCCCCCCCCCCCGCTTTGCCCGACGGAGAAACACCTGAGGCCAGATAAGCCACCCGTGAGGTAGATGGGCTGGCAATTGAGTGCAGCCATGGTGCTACCACCCAGTCCTTTCTGTTGCCAGTGTTCTGTGGGTCCAGCTTGACCTCTTCCTGGGAAAGTAAGTCTTTCTGTGGGGGGAGTGATAAGGTCCCCAAGATGGTAGCAGATGTGTGGGGCTGAGAACTACTTCTCCCTCCCACAAACCAGGGTTTTCTCTCTGTCCAAGGTCAGAATGGAACCAGAGCAGGCCAAGGCTTCTGGGGAGGCAAAGGGAACTTTTAGCTTTCCAGAGATGGTTTTGCCTTTCTGGTTATTTTGCTTGGCACTTTTTGTCTGAGGGTCTATAAAAGGTCTGTTCTGGAAAATTCTACCGTCCTCGGATATCTCTATGCTGTTATTCCATCTTCCTCCTGGGCACCTTGTTTTAAAGCTCCCCAGTCCCTCCTCTATGCCTGTGGATTCTTGGGTGATTCCTTTCACTGGGTCCTTGGTTCCTTGGGGCAGAGCCAAGCATCCAGGTGTGAGGTGAGCATGGGAACACCTCCCCGCCCGGCTGTGTGTGTAGTTGCCCACTCTCCTCCAAGGATGCTTTCTCTCACGTGTTCTTGCCTTGGGACTGGGTCCTGCTGTTTGCATCCCTCTCTCCCAGGTGAAAAACCCTCTCTCTGTAGCCTCATTTTTAGTGATTTGGCTGTGGTCCCCCATCTCTTATGGGAAGCTTTAAGTTCTTGTATCTAAGAAGACCAATCTCCCAGCTGTCTCCACCCACTGCTGGGCACTGAGCTCCTTAAACAGCGCATTTGGACACTCAAAATAGCAAGTAGCTAGGCGCAGCAGCACAGACCTATAACCCTGAGCACTCAGGAAGAGGCAGGAAGACCACAACTTGGAGGCTAGCCTAG